TTTTTTGTCTTTTGGACGATAGTGTTGTTTTTTGGTCTAGATGGATTCTCCCAACCCTAGGTGCCCCAAGGTGGGGTGTGGAACTGTCAGGGGGCAGGTCTCAACCCCGTGACCCAGCCTTGTCCAGAGGACCTGCTTGGAGTGTGCCTTGGCCCCCGTGGTTTGCCAGGAGAAGAATACTCAGGCCATATTTGGAGCAAGTAGACCAAGGACAAGGTACTTTCTGTTGATTCTACGCTCTGGTCACCTCCAGCTCACACTGCGTCCGACCCCAAGGAAACACTCCACGCGACATGACAGCTTCATGGGGTAAGGTCAACTTTCACACTTGTATCCAAAGGGTCCCCCAAAATCACCAATTACAAAATCTACGAACTTAGAAACAAACACTATTCCAAGCCAAGAGATTGTTTTGGTCACCCACAGGATAAGGAATCTATGCCAAGGCTGTGGGGCCCGTCATCCCTGAAGGAGCCAGGCCCCCCTGCCGTGCTCCAGGGTGCCATTCCGTAGAAGGCGTCTCCCAGCCTATCCACTGGCGAAGACGGGCGCCTCCTGGAAGGGCTGGAGGCCACACGCGTCGCGGACAACTTCTTCTCTGATGTGTTTTGCAGATCATTTCCTTCTGAATTTTCGACTAAATGCCTCCCTTTTGCTGACTCCCTATAATAGTTCAGTTCAGTTATTTGAAATAAGTCCTAAGTTCTTAAAACAGACGGCCCGTTGGGGAAGCAGGTCTGAACTAAGACAAGACCACGCATCAGAACGCCGCAGCTCCTGCGGGCACCGAGGAAGCACAGGATGACACCATCGATTTTCCGCTCCCAGGGAGGACGGAGGACGGTGTATCCGGAGCGCGGTCCACCAGACAGTCAACAACCAGCTACTTGAGAGGCACTCACCGGCTCGTTTAAACGTTTTAGTAATGCGAAAGCTTGTCCTCATGATGTATTGTCTTCCCAGGGAGTTTCGGGGAAAGCGTCACTCAGAACTGAGCGACGGATCAGCTGATGGAACCCCATCGCGGAAGGGTGTGCACAGCGGATGGCAGTCGGGCGAGGGTTCGAGAGGGACGCAGGAGCAGGAGGCCACGTCCGGAGCAAGCATGTGGCTTCTTCCCTTTCTTCTCTGACGTGGCTGCCAGTGAGCGGGACAGCGTGGGAAGACGTGGCAGCTTCTGGATGAGGAGGCATTCTGTTATTTATGCAGACAGGTGGGCCCTCAGGGACGGACTTCAGCATCCTCTGGAGGCCTGTTCTCCTACTGTATACTACTGTATACTACTGTAAACACCAGAACCCGCTAATCAGAAACACACAGAGGCTGTCAGGGGCTTGCAAAAGCCTGAACAGATGGACAACAACCTTCTTGAAGACAGACAGACACGCGGGGCTGGTGCTGGTGGGGTGACCACCTGGGGCAATCAGCTCTGAGTGAGGGACATGCAGACGCGGCCGGGGGGGAGCCTGCGGGGCGAACACAACAGGTGGTTGATGCGAACGGCTCCAAGATGAAGGAGTAGCCGGTGGAGTGTTCTAGGTCCCCAGTACAGCTGTGTCCCCACGCAGAGGGGACGTTTCCTCCTGGGATCTGGGGAGAGCAGAGCTACCTGGACGGAGGAACCCGCAGCTTGGGACGGACGCACGGGTGGAGAGCAGGGAGGCCGGAGTCCTTGCGGTCGGGTCCAAGGCTGCTGTTTAATCTCGGACAGCCCTCCGATGATTAACAGCAAAATTAATGTTCTGACGTTTCTTAAATGCCAACTGATCAGAATTCAAGGCCAGACCCTCAGGAGAGTGAGAGAAAGCAGGCCGTGTAGACAGATGGCCCAGCCACTCCGGCTCCTGGCCAGCCTCTCCTCCCTTGTGAGCTCCACGTCGTCACCCAGCGGCTGGAGTTCCCAACGCCTGGTGCCATGGGAAGGGCGTCTTGTTCCCAAGATTCTACGTGAGTTTAACCAGAGGGACAGAGACCGGCATGGCTGATACCCGTGGTTGGACATAAAGACATGATACTTCACTCCCTTTCCCAGAGCCCTTGGCCCATCAAGGCAATCGACATCCAAACTCTGGGCGCATGCAAGTGTCCTTTGATGCCCGAGGTGACTTTCTAAGGAGAAGGTGGGACACGGCGGGGGGTGCTCACTCCCGCAACACAGGGAACCTCGTGCCCAGGCAACTGCAGTGTGGGTCCCTGTTGCCCCAGGTAGGAGAGCCCCCCTCCCTGCACCGGGACAGCTCCCCTGTCTAGGGGACGACAGTGCTCACCCACCCTGGAATTGTTTCTGGAAAGTTCTGTGGTGTCTGTTTGTTATCTGTTAAAATTATAATATACCCAAGCGGTGGTCAGAGGAATGATTTTTGGAGGGGTGCGTGGCAGGGAAAGGCCCAATGGCACCGAAATGAAGGGGCCTGAAGCTGGTCAGGGAAAGCACTGCAGGTTGGTGCCTCCTACCCTGTCCGCCCGCCACAGAGGAGAGTCCTGTCCTGACTGCGGTCAGGTGCCAGGGCCCACCGCCCGTTGCCGGCTCTCTCCCTCCCTCGCCCCTGCCGTCTGCTGCCTGGAGGCCCCCGTGAGGGCTGAGGAGGCCGGGATGGATTCTCCTCCCTTCCTGTGGGCAGGTGTCACTTCTTCTAAGAAACAATTTTTTGGTAGAAATAATACTGAAGCTGTATTTTTAAGACTTTACAGAGCACAGACTTAAAGAATCATCGGGGACATGAGGTGCTGGGGGGCCGAGTCGGTGGGGCGCACCACTCCTGACCTCGGCCTGGTGAGCCGGAGCCCCATGTTGGGCAGAGAGATGACTGAAAAATAAGACCCTTAAAAATCTTAAAAATAAAAAAAAAAAAAACAAAGAATAATCAAGGGGGTAAAAATGATGACTGCATAGTGGTTTTAACCAGAAATCGTCATAAATGAATGATGTGAGGTTCGTTTTCCTCACATACACAGGGCGGTTGTTCTTCACGACGATCCCATTTTCCATTTGTGATGCTGTTTAGGCAAACACAGTTTTTACAAGTTGGTGCTGGAATCCTGGCACGCCATCCCCACAACCCTCCACACCGCACAGCCCGCCGACCCACCACCTGCCTGCGGCCCGTCGTGGCAGCCGTCCTTGCGCTGCGCCTGCCGTGGACGGAGTCCCGTGGATCCCCTGACTTTCGATGGGAGGCTCTGTTCTACTGGGCAGAGGGGGCGCTGGGCTCTGGCAACTCCTGCCTCCTGAATGGGCTCGGGGTTCTAAGGCACTTTTTTTTTTTTTTTAAGGATTTATTTATTTAATTGGGAGAGCACGCATGTGAGTGAGCCAGGGGAGGGGCAGAGGCAGAAGGAGAGTCTCAAGCAAACTCCCCCTGAGTGTGGAGCCCAACCAGGACTCGATCTCATCAGGACCTTGAGATCATGACCTGAGATCACGACCCTGAGATCGCGACCCTGAGATCACAATCCAGAGATCATGACCTGAGATCATCACCTGAGTTCACAACCCTGAGATTGTGACCCTGAGATCATGACCTGAGTTCACGACCCTGAGATTCTGACCCTGAGATCATGACCTGAGTTCACGACCCTGAGATTGTGACCCTGAGATCATGACCCGAGATCATGACCTGAGTTCACGACCCTGAGATTCTGACCCTGAGATCGTGACCCTGAGATCGCGACCCTGAGATCATGATCCAGAGATCATGACCTGAGATCATGACCTGAACTCACGACCCTGAGATTGTGACCCTGAGATCATGACCCGAGATCACGACCCTGAGATCGCGACCCTGAGATCACAATCCAGAGATCATGACCTGAGATCATGACCTGAGTTCACAACCCTGAGATTGTGACCCTGAGATCATGACCTGAGTTCACAACCCTGAGATTGTGACCCTGAGATCATGACCCGAGATCATGGCCTGCATTCATGACCCTGAGATCATGCCCTGAGATCATGACCTGAGATCATGACCTGAGATCATGACCCTGGGATCACAACCTGAGCCGAAACCAAGTTGGATGCTTAACCAACCGTGCCCCCCAGATGCCCACACACCCAGAGCGCTGACACCCCTGACATGGGCACGTGGCCCCTGCTACAGGCCTAGGCCACCTGTGAGAGGACCGATACAGGGGCAGCAGGTCGTGGCTGCATGTGCCCGCTGGGCTATGGGGAGGGCCGGGCTCTGGCCGGACAGCGGGCACCCCCTGAACTCAGAAGTGGCCCATGACTCTCTTTACACAGGTGGCCTTTTAGATCCCCCAGCTTTCCTGCCAGAGACGGTGGCCCAGCAACCCTGCCATGCCTTCTGCCTCCTTCCCGGGAGACACACAGACACTGAATTTCACCCCTTTGTGTGGGACTCAGGAGGAAAGGAGCCACAGACCGGGGCCTGCGGGAGGGGCTGACAGCGGGTATCTGGGCCACGGGTGCTGCCGCCACAGCCAGAGGGTGACACGCGTGGAGGCTGGGCATGCACGGAGTGTGCCCGCAGTCACAAGGCACCCCTTCCCCTTTCACCTGTCACCTCAGGCTGCCACTGGGAGCTCCTGCAATCTCGTGCAGATCAGAAATCTGAGGTCAGGGTGAATGACTTTGTCCAACATCACCAAGTGAGCAGAAGGCACCCGAGTCCGACCCAAGATCTGCAGGACACGCAAACCCATGCCCTCACCCAACACACGGCACCTGAGGCACCCAGCGGGCTCCGTGCATGTCTTCAGGGCTCAGAGGCCAGGCCGGACAGGGCACATGGGCCCTGGGGAGGGATGGTGCAGGCCAGACGCTGTCCAGTGTCCTCAGTGCCTAGAGCCATGACTCCTGCCCACTAAGGCACGGGGCACCCAGAGCCGTCACTGAAACAGAACCTGAGACCCTCCCACCCTCTGCTTACTGGTTAAATCTGCTCTTTGCTCAGTCATGAAAGTCAAAATGATCCTTTTTTTTCTTTCTATGCTGCCTGCGACAGAAAGACGTGGGAGCCCAAGGCCTTGTCACCTACCGGTTCCTCTTGGTCCTCAGGTTCCGGTCTCCCCTGCCGTCCTCAGACTGAGACCCGTCGCTGTGGTCGGCTGGAAGAAAGTCAGGTTAACGAGGTTGGAGCGTCTGCGCCCATCATTCTGGCAAACCACCGAGACGCACTCCCTTTCAAACAGAGTCATCTGGGAACGAGGGTCACCGAGACCAAGCCCTGTCAGCAGCTTCTCTGGGCACTCCTTGTATGCTCCGGCAGAAGAGCAAGCGGCTGCCCTCCTGAGCAGGGGAGGCCTGTAGAAGGCGCCCGATCGTCCAGCAAAGCCAGGGGACAGAGAATGGGCAGTGGGCATCTCCCAGCCCCTCCGCGGGCACCTGGGGACGCAGGCCCTGGCGGAGACCTTCTATGTCATGTGTGCCTTCATGTGCTCACAAGCGGACCAAGACCCCTGTCCCTTCCTCTCTCCGCCGCCTTCCCCTCCCCTGCACACGGCATGGACTTCACTCCGGACCACGTGTCTACTGCCAGAACCCAAACTGATTTTGACGACAGGTCCCCTATTTACATCCTGAGGAGACTGGGCTGGTAAATATTTGATGAGATTTGAAATGGAAAATAAAAAGGGGCTTCAGCATTTCATATTTGTCTCCAAAAGGGTGAGGAAACACGAGGCTCAACCTGGCTCTGGAACGTTACTACTTCAGTCCCGACACACGGATGGGTCCACACGCTCCCCAGAACGTTACTTACTTCGTCCTGACACACGGATGGGTCCACATACTCCCCCCCATCACACTGCTTTCGAGCCCACTTCTTGCTCTGCATCCACCACGCCCAGGGGACCACTGTCCCATGCTCCCGTCCCTGGCATGCAGAGGTGCGGGGGACTGGGTTCTGCAGGGCATTTCCAGGTCCCCATTTCCCCCGGACCACCAGCTCCCTCGGCCCCACCTTCCTGAAGAGGCCCCACCAGGACAACACTGCCCACCGCCTCAGAGAGCGCCGTTTTTGGAACCCAGCGAAGCCTTCAATCCCGTCCACTCTTAGTTTGCTTCCAGTGTTCAGCGTGGGGCTGGCCGCAGAAGGAGGGAGTTGGGCTCTGGAAGCCTGCGTCTGTCCCAGCTCACCCCTCATCCCGGTTCTGGGGCCCCTCCCACCCATGAGCACCCATGCCACGCCGTGTGCACTCCACTGTCCTGGGATGCAGGGGGACACGAACGGGACTGAGAACTGGCCCCAGGAGTGTCCCACTCTGGAAGATGCTGGCCCAGGAAGGGCGTCAGGGACAGGGACCCTGCGCACATGAGCTTGGAGTGGAATGGGGCTCCCTGTGGGACAGGTGTGCGTGCTTGGGGGAGGGGCAGGCATTCGGGAAGGCCGGTGTCCACACCTTAGTGGCACCTTCAGGACGCCTCACGTACCAGCAACACCCGGGCCGTCCTGTGAGCTGGAGAGAGGATGCTCGGCAGGTGCCAGGATCAGCGGGGACAGGTCCCAGGTGTGACCCCCAAAACTGTCTCCAGACATTGCTAAACGCCCCTCCAGGGGACAGAAGCCCCCTCCTCACTGAGAACCACGGGAAAGAACCCCTGTGAGAAATAAGCTCACTTGGGGCCAAGTTCACCTTCTTGAATCGCCACACGCTCTTCCCACAGGGCCCCTCTGGGACGCCAGCGTCAGTCCCTTCTCAGCTTCTGACCCCGAAGCCCAGGAGGCAGGCTCACCTCCCTGCTCTGCCCAGCTCTCCCCTCCTGGCCTCTCTGCCTCAGCCCAGCCCTGCACGTTGAGCCTGGGCCACCCTCATGACCACCGTTCCCTGCCCCAGCCTCAGGCCCACTGCAGCCCTGCACTTATGACCCCAGGCTTGGATGCCGGTCCCTCTGGCCCTGCGAGCTGGCCTCCCACACGGGCTCTGCCTCAGATGGGATGTCCCCACCCCACGCCTGCAGACAGCGCTCTCCCTGCTTGCTGAAACCCGTGACCCTTGTAGCAGACGAGTCACTCATGTGAAAGTTGCCTGTCCCGCGACCTCTGAGAGTGATATTTCCGAGACCGTGGGAAGAAGAGGCACCTTGGCTCCTTCCAAGGTGCAGAAGACAGAAAGATCCCCAAGACTCTGGCTGCCCTTGGCAAAAAGAGGGGCAAGGCAGGGGTGCTGTCCTAGCTGGGCAAATGTCCCCGGAAACCTCTCCTCCCATGGCTGGGTCAGAAGCGGCCCAAGGTGGGAGAGCTGGGGCAGCGGACCCGGGGGCACAGCCGTGGGCACTGGGACGAGAGGCCAAGCAGCAGGGCTTTTCCGGGTGCTCTCCTGTGCCGGCAGGCGTGCTTCCGGGTCTCGCGTCCCAGCCAGGACCGCAAGGGCAACAATCCGACTGGACTCTGACACTCACAGCCTGGAGGCAGCGCTGGGCCCCCGAGACCTGGGCACCCCGACTTCTGACTGACTGGCTGGAAACCGTGCTAGAACAGTCCACAGAACACAGAACACAGCACATACTCCGTTTACCGGCTCGGAACTGTGATTGGGCAGCTACGTGCACCTCCTCCCTCCTCCCTCCCCCGGCTCCCTGCTTCCTCCCCCCACTGCTTCCTGCTCCCTTCCCCCTCCTCCCTGCAGGCAGGCCCACAGCAGGTGGCAGAGACAGGAGGGGCGTCAGCCTGCACTGGGGGATGTGAGGGAATCACACTGGGTAGATCCAGACCCCACACTGTGACTCCGCGGACCCCACTAGCTGGGAGCCCCCTGACACCCAAATCGGTCTCTGCGTTCTTTACTCGTGGCAGGTCATCACCAACCTGTGAAAAAGTGCAGAATGAGAGTTAGGCCTGAGCAGAGCCGGGCAGAGTTCTACACAGCCCAGAGAGGGGGCAGAAGCCTTGGGAGAGGTCACTAGGTCAGGGGGCCAGCGGGACCCCGGGGTCAGTCACCCTGAGGGGCGAGCTGCCTGGTCACCTAGAAACGCTGCACTGACGGTGATCCCCTGCCCCTGAGGCTCACTGAGAGCTTGCCCAGGCACCTCCCCCTCCCCGAGCCCCACAAGACATGGGGCTCCCGGGTGGGTCCCCCTCCCTGCTGCCTGGGCTACAGCGTGAGCGACCCTGCATCAGTAAGTCTCCTGGTCACTGGTCTGGGGACTCACATTGCTCTGTCCACCTGCGGCCTCTCCTCCTGACCCACGACACGGCTGTCACTTCCTGTCACTGCCTGTGGGCCGTCTGCTTGTGGTTGGGGCCGGGGTCCAGCCTAGGGCTGGTCAGTCCAGCCTCCAAGTACACAGTGATTGATCTGGAAGGGAACTGCTGTCCTCCTCCCTCCCCATCCTCCCTCACTCCTGGATCACAGCGGAGCAGACAGCTCAAAGCATTAGGTTCTGGGAGAAACCACTTGGAAAATGCTCTCCCAGCCTCTCCTGTCCCACAGCGGCATGTGGCCCAAAGGCACAGAAGGGACACAGCCCCGGGATCGGCGCTCACTCGGTGGCACATCTGAAACCCGGAGGGGCCCGCCATCTGGCCACTGGGCTGCAGCAGAGGAGGGCTGAGTGTCACAGGGCATAGTGGAGATCCCTCGGGCCCAGGCACCTGGCCGGCCCCTTCCAACCCGGCTGCCTGGCGGCTTCTGCTGGAGCACATCAGCTCCCCGCAGGCGGCTTCCAGGACGGATGGCCTGTGTGTCTCCATTCGTTGCTGGGTCCAGGGTCCTGCACCAGTCACTGTGCAAAGAGGCGACACGGGCCAGGGGCTGATGGGTGTTGTGGAACGTGGAATGCGGGTCCCTTGGGAAGGTCAGGGTCCCGCCTAAACAGCTGGGACGGGGAACTTTGCATGGGGGGGGCCTCTCCTCAACCCAATTCTTGGGACAGGTGATGCCAACCTTGGGCTGCGGACAGGCGCCAGGGACGTTGTCAGCTGAGCCTGGACACCTGGTCCCACTGTGGCTCTGAGACTCGTGTGCTCTCCCTGGGCAAATACAGCTTGGGAAAGCCAGCCTCTCTCAAGCCACAGCTGTGTTTACTCACAGGGACGGCTTTATGTCCTACTTGCAAAATGAACATTATTACCAATGCACATTCGTCTTGAATATAAATGACTAAAATGTTTACAGAGGAACTGAGGCCAAGTGACGTCTATGCCACCTCTGTGGCAGGTTGGGGACAAAGTGGCTGAGAGGACAAGGCTGCCCGCCCCTGACCATGGGTGTGTCAGGCACAGGGAGCAAAATGCTTTCCAGAAGCGCGTTCTTACCACAGGCTCATGGCTCAGGAGAAGCCCGGTAAGTCTGTCCCTCCTCAGATGCGGACTCTGACCCACCCCCACACACTGGAGAGAAATGGGACCTTGGGCAAGTTAATTAATCCATCTCCTTTAATTCCCTCTTCTATAAATGGGTATAAAGCCGGTGGGTTGCAGAATGATGGCCTCCAGGATGGCCGTGGCCGGTCACTGCACCTGTGAACATATCAGGTTCTACAGCAAAGGGGGATCGAGATGGCAAGCAGCTGACCTGGGGACAGAGAGTGACCTACGCCACCCAGGTGAGCCGGTGTAATCATAAGGACCCTTCTTCCCAGGGGAGGAGGAAGGCAGGAGAGTTGCCAGAAAGATCTGAGGTCACCGTCCTGCTGTCCCTGAAGTGGGGGCAAGGAGCCCCGAGTGGCAGAAACCAGGCAGCCCGGAAACACGGCTTCGCCATCTCCACTGGGACTCGCGCGGCGTAACAAGCGGGCGTGGGGCGAAGCCACGGAGTCTGTGATCACGTAGTGCACGCGGGGCCCGCCTCGTGAGGCCGAGCTGAGCGGAAGTGACCAGGCTCCGCGCCGCACCTTCCCGGCAGAGCTCCCTCCCCTCCCCCCTTCGCGGGACTGAACACCGGTCAGGCCCGGCTTCCCGGTGCCCTCCAGCTCATCGGGCATTTACTCCGAACCCACAGCAGAGCTTCTAGACCCAGAAAAAATCTGGATGCACGCAAAATAATTGGGAAATAATTCAGGTCTTTGTCTGAGTCCCTCAGCAATGCTAACAGAATGAAGAGGGGACTTTTCCCTTCTCTGTTGAGTGATGAGTGGCTTAGCACGTCTGGCAGCTCTGTACCCTGTTCCAGGAGGCTGTCACAGCATCAGCGCCCCCAACACCGTGCCGTGTGTCCCCTGCACGCAGACACACGTCGAGAGCCCGGAGCCCTGGCATGCGGCCGCTCTTGGGTAAAATTCAATTACTTCATTTGCCTTTTGAAAAATAACCGGTATCAACCGGAATGCTTAATTGTCCTATTTCACACTAGAAACAGGTATTAATATATTCAAATCTGTAATGACTCGGAGTTGAGCAAAATGTGAAAAACAAAATTCTACACCAAGAACAATTTCCCCTGGAGCCGGTTCTCAAAATATTCAGGGTCAAATCATTTGATGAGTCACGACGGATGAACAGCCAGGGGAAATGTCACTTGCCGAAGGCTGGAGGTCATCAACACTGCCCACTAATCGCTAATTAATCCTCCAGAAATACCTCCTGCCCTAATTGTCTGGCAGCAAACGAAACAGTTTGGGTGGGTGGATCTTAGAAAATTAGAAATTATTCCCGGAAATGCCAATTCTACCCCGCAACAAGAAGTCAGGAGTTGCAGTCATTTGCATATCTTTAAGATTCTGGTTAAAAAACCACAACACTCCTTTAAGAAAGCCTTGTCCTCTTTTTACAAGAAGAAGCAAGGTTGAAACTTGTTTTGTAACTACACATAACGATATCAGTATATCTATCTCGGTAGAGTAGTTGGGGCGTTGTGATAAGTTAATGGAAGACGAGTGTCTGATGTAGCAAATCTCAATTAATCCGCTATTTCGGTTGTGGTTGTGTTGTTGGACTTTAGCCTCAATTCTACTTTTCCTGAGTACAGTGACTGAGATGGAACGCTGATCTGTGACCCGGGTAATTTAGATCCTGCTGTTAAATTAATTAAACAAGAGGCCATTAGGCTGTCAGGGCTCTGAGGCCTGGGAGGTCCACTTAAGCAAACCGAAACCAAGGCCCGTGAATGTCTCAGGGCTGCAGCATCACTCACGACGCTGAGGACGGCCAGTCGCAGACCGCCAAGGGGGCTCGAAGCTACGGCCAATCCCACCTTCTCTGCCCTCCCTCCCCGGTTCCCATCAGCGCCAGATGCGTGTCCGATGTGGCCCTGCTCCACGGGAACCCGGTTTCTGCACAAACTCTTGTAGCGTTTCATACACCTCGGTTTATCCTCCACCTGCCCTCCACCCCAGTCCTCCCCCGCCCTGATACGGCGGGAGGCTCAGTGCCGAGTTCTGCCGACGCCCCTCTGTCTCTCCTAGACCTGGTGTCTCTGGGTCCAAAGGACAGAAGCCACAGGGCAGCCGTGCACCGCCTTAATGAGTTCCTTTCTCGTGCCTGCCAGTGCTTTGGGGAGAAAAAGAGGGAAGGAGGGAAAGAGGGAGGAGGGAGGGAGGGGAGAACAGCACCCAGTTATCTATGGTTCGAGCTAAGGAAACTCTGCATTATTTGTCTTTGACCAACCAAACCCACTCGCAGCTGTAGCAACTGCCCTTCGGCTGGTCTCGTGGGACTGGAGGGTCTCGTGAGGCCGAGGGGGGCGGTGCTCGGCTGCCCGTGAGTTGGGCCTTGGGAGATTGTTTTCTATGAGGATTTGTTTTCAACCTTTCAACGACACATCCCTTTTAAAAATGGACACTGCCCTCGACCATTCTCTTACACCGTACACAAAGATAAACTCGAAGTGGATAAAAGACCTCAACGTGGGACAGGAATCCATCAGAATCCTAGAGGAGAACACAGGCAGTAACCTCTTCAATATCAGCCACAGCAACTTCTTTCAAAATATGTCTCCAAAGGCAAAGGAAACAAAAGCGAAAATGAACTTTTGAGACTTCATCAAGATCAAAAGCTTCTGCACAGCAAAGGAAACAGCCAACAAAACAAAGAGGCAACCCACGGAATGGGAGAAGATATTCGCAAATGACAGTACAGACAAAGGGCTAATATCCAAGATCTATAAAGAACTCCTCAAACTCAACACACACAAAACAGATAATCATGTCAAAAATGGGCAGAAGACATGAACAGACATTTCTCCAATGAAGACATACAAATGCTATCAGACACATGAAAACATGTTCATCATCACTAGCCATGAGGGAGATTCAAATTAAAACCACATTGAGATACCACCTTACACCAGTTAGAATGGCCAAAATTAGCAAGACAGGAAACAACGTGTGTTGGAGGGGATGTGGACAAAGGGGAACCCTCTTACACTGTTGGTGGGAATGCAAGTTGGTGCAGCCACTTTGGAGAACAGTGTGGAGACTCCTCAAGAAGTTAAAAATAGAGCTTCCCTATGACCCTGCAATTGCACTACTGGGTATTTACCTCAAAGATACAGATGTAGTGAAAAGAAGGGCCATCTGTACCCCAATGTTTATAGCAGCAATGGCCACGGTCGCCAAACTGTGGAAAGAACCAAGATGCCCTTCAATGGACGAATGGGTAAGGAAGATGTGGTCCATATACACTATGGAGTATGATGCCTCCATCAGAAAGGATGAATACCCAACTTTTGTAGCAACATGGACGGGACTGGAAGAGATTATGCTGAGTGAAATAAGTCAAGCGGAGAGAGTCAATTATCATATGGTCTCACTTATTTGTGAAGCATAACAAATAGCATGGAGGACATTAGGAGAAGGAGAGGAGAAGTGAGTTGGGGGAACTAGGAGGGGGAGACGAACCATGAGAGACTACGGACTCTGAAAAACAACTGAGGGTTTTGAAGGGGTGGGCGGTGGGAGGTTGGGGGAACCAGATGGTGGGTATTGGAGAGGGCACGGATTGCATGGAGCACTGGGTGTGGTGCAAAAACAATACTGTTATGCTAAAAAGAAATTTAAAAAAATAACAAAAAAAAATAATAAATAAAAAATAAAAATGAACGCCGCCCGATCAGAGGAGGAGACAAAACCACAAACCAGCGCTTCCTGTCCCTGTGTGCAGCTACGTTTCCACAGATGCAATTACATATGCTCCTAAGACACCTCCTGTCCCAGCGGAGGCTGCCCCGTGCTCATGAGAACGTTCTCATCATCTTAGGTGAAACGAGTCGATGAAACCTGCCTCCCCCAATCCCAACACACCGCGCCCGCATTGAAGAGCACCGTTTTCCAGGCTCCTGGCGTGGTTAAAAATGTTTAGAAAACTTTTCAAACACTGTTCTCTAAAGTTCCAGTTAACTGCCTCCGCCTTTGACTGAAACCGTGGGTAGATATTGTCATACGTTGGCTGTCTATCATGAGAATAAAAAACATCATTGCAAACTCAGTAAAACACCCCGTAAAAATAAAACAAATCCCTCTTTCAAGGGGTCAAGATCCAGTTTCCTGGCCTCTCAGGCACGTGTGCGCCTCTCGGGCGGGAGACGGCTCCTGACCGAGTTTCCAGGCGAAGCCAACACTTGTTCCACCCGCGTGCCTGGCGAACGGGCTTTCCCAACACCACAGCTAATAGAAAACACATCACATCTGATCGGAAAGGACCCTTGCCGGAAACGCTAACCGTTCTCCGACTCCGGGGAAGCTGGATTTCCACGGTTGTTGGCAGATACGGCAACCTCTCCGCCAGGTGCCCGTCCCCTCCCCGCCAACACCTGCCTTCCCGGGAAGTCAAGCGCCCTTGGAATAAACAAGGGACGCGTCCCGTTCGCAGCTCGGACGGGAAAGTGTGAGGGAGAAGGAAACGCGCTCCTGTCCGCACACGTGGTCTCCCAAGCGGAGTTCACGAACCATTTGGAATAAAAAGTAAACACTGGCTAATGACCGGGGCGGGGGCTTCAGGAAGCCGAGGACTGAGAACGCCTCCTCTGAGTTAACCGCTTCACGACACGCGGACGGAAAGCCCCAGCCACCCTGGAAGAAAATGTCTCCGGCAGAAAGTGCCGCAAAACCTCAGTGACTACATTCTCAAAGAGCCCACACAGCGCTTTAGAAATCGGCTTCCGGCCCAGCCAGGCGACCCCCCGCGTCCCTGCCCGAGGGTGAGGGATGCGCGGCGTCAGCGCGTGGGGACGGTCGCCCGCGGCCGCTGCTCATTACGTGTCGGCGCCTCCAGTTTGCGCTTGTGGGGTGGGTCCTCGATGATCCTGTCCAGGTCCCCGCGGCTCTTCAGGTCCACAGGCTTCTCCCACACGGACAGCTGCATCGTCGGGTTGAAGAAGAAAACCCGGTCGTCGCCCGTCCAGACCACGCACCTGTTTGAATGGAAAACTCGCCTCAGTTCCCCGCAAAGACATTGAGTTCAGAAATCAGCGGTGTGCGACCCGACCCAGAAACCCCTGGGGCCCGAAATCCTCACCTTGGCAAAGGTTCTTCTGTCCCATCTAAGTCATAATGGCCGTGTCTGGCTTTCTGGGGGGCTTCACAGAGCTTCTCCTATTTCCCATTCAGCTAACAGGTAAAATACTCTCCTGACTGTCCTTCTGTGGGGTAAGGACAGCAGAGCTGAGCAAAGCGGGCAGCTGGACGCGGCCCTGGGGGTCCAAGCTCGTCCTGGCACACCAGCTGCCTCCGTGTGACCCTGCGCTCTGGGGACCTCTGGCCGCCCACAGGGGCCACGTTATTTGAAGGGGCCTTCCCGGTACACATTGCTGATTCCCGGGACTTGGAGACATCGGCACATCCTACTCTCCTATATCTGAGACATTAAATGGGCCACTGTGTTTAGCAGCTCTGCCCACATTCTCCAGTTTGTTTCTAGAGGAACAAAGAATTAAGCTTTGTGTTTTCATAACTAGGAATCTGAAATCTCCAAATGGAGTAAGAGGCCATTTGAAGACCCCATCTCCGAGGAGGGCATCAGAGAGGAGAAAGATTAAGAAGAAGTGAAGAAAAACAAAACAAAGAAAGGCTGGGACTTGTCCCTAATGTGTGTGAGTGGGTCTGTAAGGCTCTGTGCACAGGAATCCGGGCCCAGCAGTGGCCCAAAGAACGCGGCCTCGCAAGGCCCCCGACCTGGTCTCTGGCTCTGTCCCAAGGGTGGGCTGGGGTGGGGCAGCAAGGCCGCTTCTGGTCTGGGCTCCTGGATGTTTCTCCTTGGGCAAGTCCTCCCCATCCCTGGGCCCCAGCTTCCCACAGCGGCCTCCCAGAGCCCTGCAGGCCAGGGTTCCCGGATTCCAGAAGCGGTGGGACTGCGCAGGAAAGCCCACATGTGCTGAGCACCTGTGGCTATTGGTTTTCCTCTAACCAGGGACCTCTGCCGATGAGGAGACTCCTCTAGGCCCTGCCTTCATCCCTGGTGACCGGCTGCTCCTGTGCCCAACCGGCCACACGCAGCTGTGCGCTGTCAGGACGGAGCAAGCCAGCTCCAGACACTCAGCTCTGCACAGAGGACACCCTCTAACCTGGATCTGCCTCCTCGCCCAGCCAGACACTTCCCATGGGCCGTGCAGAGGGCTTGGGGGCTGAACCCTGCCTTCTGGGATTCTGAACAGACCAGGCTTCTTCCCAGAGGGGTGCTGAGATGGTCTGACGGATATGTATGCCGGCTGGGCCAGGGCCGTGGGTGTGGTAGGCAGAATGAGGCTCCCTAAAATGTCTACGTCCTAATCTCTGGGACTGGGAATGTGTGACCTCCCACAGCAAGGGCAGCTTTGCAGCTGTGGTAAGCACTGTCTTGAGACCAGAAATGATCCTGGATTGTCTGGGTGGAAGAGGGAGGCAGGAGGGCCCGAGTTAGAGGAGGAGAGGTCACAGAAGCAGAGGTCAGACACACCCGAGGCTGGGACGGGGGAGGGAGGACCCCACGTGTGGGTCTCCGGGATGGAGGACGGGCTAAGGAAGACAAGAGGCCCCAGAAGCTGGAAAAGGCAAGGAACATGGTGTTCCCCGGACCCCCAGGAGCAAACGGCCCCACCCACACCTGGATTTGAGTCCCGTGAGATGCAGTGGGATTTCTGACCTCCAGAATTATGAGATGCTAAATTTGTGGAGTTGAACCTTCTGGGTTTGTGGGAGACTGTGGCCCTTCTCTGTCCTGAGCACCCGCATCAGAACCCGCCTCCAGCCAGAAGTCACCCAAACCCCAAGCAACGGGCCCACACGCACTGCCCGCCATTGGCCTAGACACTGAAGGTGGAAGACGGTGATCTGCCTCTGGCTGACATCTCCTTCAGCTCTAGGGCTGTCCTTGACCTTCAGGTGACCTTGGGAGCTTCCCCTCATCCAGGTGGCCTCGGTTCCATCCTGTGTGTAGGACGGTTTGGAATGGAAATATGCATTATTCTACCCCACCCCACCCCACCCCCGTTATGGGGACTTGGAGGCAAGTCGCTGGGTCCCTGTGTTTCTGAGAGGCAGGGGGCTCTTGGGCTCACAGGGGTTTTTGCCCAAGTCCTTGCAGGGGCTAGAAGTCGAGGGGAGTGTTGGCAACCAGGAGCAGGACTTCGGATCCTGTCCCTGCCTTAGCTTCACCTCTGCATGCCAGAAGGACGCAGCCAACAATGTGAGATATTTATTGGGAAGGGAGTGGTTAACCAGGCTCTGTGGACATGACATGGTCCTGGGACACACCCATTCACCCCACAAGCATCTGGGCCGTGGAAATGCAGGTTTCCAGTGGCTTGGAGTGCTGTCTGTCTGGCTGTGGGCATGCGGAGAGAGCAGAGCTGGCTCTGGACCAAGGTCCATGAAGGGGTCCAGCCTCAGATCACCTCCACGCCCTCCCGCCTGTCTCTGGGAGGCTGTCCTACCACGGAGCAGCTGGCCTCCTAGGTGGTCGACGCTAAGTCGCTCATCTCCCTAAGACCCAGGCAGGGTGCTGGATCCTGAGAAAGTTCTGGTCAGCAGAGGGGAGGGGACTTGAGAATAAGAAGCTGAAGACGAGGGGAGATACCCACTGCTCCCGGGTTGTGCAGTCCACGTCCTGTCATGCAGTGTCCATGGACTCAAGAGCATCCCCACTCTGGGCCCTCGGTGGCCACGAAGCAATCTCATGTTGACCTGACACTGTGCTCAAGGGAGGCCAGTGGGTCTGGGCCGGTGGGCCTGGGTGGTTGAGGCTCACGGGTCAATTGGGGCAGTGAGTCTGGACAGGTGGCTTATAGCCAGGTGGGTCTGGGCAGACAGGCTTGGGCACCCGAATCTGGACTAGAAGGCCCAGCAGCTGGGTGCAAGCGGGGGTCTGGACAGGAGGCCTCCACGGAAGTGTCAGGCAGGTGGGTCTGGCCAGCAAGGAATTAGGGTCTGTGCTGAAACAGCCCCCAAGGCCAGGCTGACTAGTGTGATAGGGGCCCCAGTTTCCTGGCCTCCTCTAGAGGAGAGACGGAGGCAGGGGAGGCCCCTGTGGGACCGACCTCCGGCAGGGCCTGTGGGACCCACTTGAATTCCTGCCAGGGTCTTGGTTTCCAAAGAAAACCAGGCGTCACATCAGCACAGACCGGAGCAGCCAGGGGAAGTCCGCTCTCTCGAGCAGCAGGCATCTCCGCTGAGGGCTGCCAGCTTGCTGAGCCCGGTCCTCCCTCCTGCCACCTGCCCTGTCCCCAGTGAAACCCGGGCCCCCACACTCAGAAACACGCCGCCCCACGGCAAGGCCCAGATCTTCTTCCCCAGGTGCACCACTAACTTCCTGAGGGACCCTGCCCCTGGCCCCACGTGCTGCTGTTAACTCTAGGAAGAGACTCACACCGGGGACATATTTGGCACAATTCTCCACAGATCTTGGGTCAGTCGGCTGTTTTGGGGACACGCTACCTCCGTAAGCTCCCGGAGCTGAGTCCAGGGACACCCCTCCTGCATCCGAATCACCAGAAGGGCCAGCACCCAAACCTAACAGTGTAGGCAGGAATCCCCAGCCAGCTCCGGAGAGGGGAAGCGAGGACCTAATTAGGCACTTAGGAGGAGAGTATTACCAGGGAAAAAGCCGAGGGAGGACAATTAACATGGCACACGTTTCCATCCAGGCTACAAAGAACCCAGTTCCGGTGCCATGGGGACAGGGGTGGACGGGAGGCACAGAGCTGGTGGCAGAGTAAATAGCGTGGTCCCTGGGGAGAAGTCTGCCCATCCACTTGTTACGGTTGGTTTCAACTAGACGGAGCCAGCTGTAACATGCAAAATTAATTTTATGTATCATTTTATGCACATTTTAAGTAATATGTATACATTCGCCTTCTTTAATCATGCTACACAGTATCTGGAGAGCTGCCATATTCCCTCTTCTCTTTAACTGTCCCCGTGTCCCAGAGGATGTCATTAGCACATCACAGTTATTCAAGGCTGGGACAGAACACGCCCCCTCAGCAGCCCTCACAGATGAGGACCTGGATCCTATCTAGTGAGGCTGCCCTGGCCGCTATGGGATGTGCCAGGGGTCCCAGGGGCACCTGAGGACAGCAGACCCCCAGGGCCACATTGTAGCTCTAGGAGTATCCAAAGATTCCCACTGGGTCCTTCCCTCTCTCCACCTGATTTGTTCCCCCCACCTGCCTGACCCAGGAGGACTGTCCTGAGGGGACAGAGCCCGACGTCCCCTGGGTCTCCCCTAGGGCTTACGGCCCTGGACAGAAAAGCAGGGTCTGGGTGCCCTTTGCTCTTCCCTCCCTGTCCTCACCCCTCCTCTGCTCAGGAAGGGCTGGCCCAGCAGCACGCAGGAGCTCTGGCTGATGCACGGGGCGGGCTGGGTAAGGGGGCACAGAGTTACGGAGGAGAAGGTAAAATCCTCCCTCCTGCCTTCCGTCCTGTGAGAGTGTGATCTGCAGTAAGAAATACATATTTGGTCTTGTCACCGTTTCTGGCACAGCCCTCCTAAAATCCTTGGGATCGCCTAAGACATGAGAGCAGAGAGATGGGTCTCTTTTTAGTCGCATCACAAGCCCTTTATGCCAAAGAGGTGACTTGGGGACAGCCCACAGGGATGGGGGCAGGTGGCCAGGAGAACCCGCCCTGTGACTAGAGGGTTGGAACGTTTGACCCCCGACCCTCACAGCTCTTGGGATGGAAGGGGGTCACCAACGGCCAGTGACTTAGTCAATCACGCCTACATGGTGAAGCCTCCACGAAAACCCAAAAGCAGGGGGACCAGAGGCCTTCTTTGTTGGTGACCCCATGGAGCTGGCAGGGGTGGCCCCGGGAGAGGACGTGCCCTCTAGCGAATTAATCCAGCAGGAGGAGGGGTCGTGGGGATCTCTGATGCGCAGCCAGTCAACACCAGCAGAGGGGACAGCCTGGACTGGACACTGGGGTCTGCAGTGGGGAG